GCAAATGTTCCAATTGCAAGTATAACAAACAATATACCAATTGCAAATGTTGCCTTTCTTTCAATAGCTATTAAGTTATCCTTAGGATTTTCTTCATGAATGTTTGACTCTTTTCTCAAAAATCTCCATAACACCACACATGAAGAAGTCACTTCAACGAAAGAATCAATACCAAAAAAGACCAAACTGACTGATTCATTTTCTGCACCGAAAAAAACCGAGACTACACCTTCAGCTAAATTCCATAAAATCGTAAAAATTGACAAGGCTATTGCAATTTTATTAAGTTTTGAACGAGGTACTGATTCAAATTTTGATAGCAATTTCATTTTTGAATGAATTGGTTATAACCTAATAAATTTGCAAAAAAAAAAAAAAAAAAAAAAAAATCGAAACTTCTATGCTGAAATTTAAGTTTCATTGTACTATCTTTGATATATCGTACGACGTTGTGACACTTTGAAAACAATTTATCTGCCAATTAAAGAAGCCGCCTGACGTCATATAATGTGATTACTTTTTTCTAAAGAGAAAGTCTCCAGACGCTAGGTATCAAGAATTAAGCTGTACTACAATATGAGTATAATCTACCTTTTTCGCATCATATAATAACCGCATAATTTTAAAATTATATTGCATTAATCGCATAATCCATCCTACCAAACATCGTACGTACGTCATAGGAAGACATTCATATGATTGGTCAATTTTCGCAGATCTACCCGTGATTTCCCGTGATAATTAACCAATCAAATTGTGATAATTAGTCGATCAAATAACGATAACGATAACGATAATAGAGATGAAACTTTATACCAGCGAAGCTTATATACTATTTTTTATAAATCATATATTCAAGGAAAATCTATTTTTGATTATTACTGCCTTCGCTAGAAACGTTACTACCCTCGAAATATATTATTAATTAGCAATATCACTTATACTATATATTTCTCTAATTATTACTGTATTCGTATTTGTATCTATCAAAAGAAAACTCAAGAATTTCATTCTTTATTCACGTAAATTTTTAAATAATAATTCTGTTTTAAGTTATTACAACCATTGCATTACCGTCTTTATATTATTAATCAATATTACACATATTATTTATTCTAAAGCCATACGTATTATATCTATCTATTATTAAGTTCTACACAAGAATAAAGTAATATAAGTATTAAAGTTTTATTAAAAGAAGTAATCTAAACTTAAATACGATAAATTAATATATAGCTTGTGAGAGTCTATTTTCAAAATCTAACTTTACCTTAAACACCTTGATCGTTCTTTTGACTCAATTATTTTTTTGCAATCAGTACTTGTATACCCGTTTTACTAATTGCAAAATGTAATAATACACATAGTAACTTCGTTTCTAAGTAAAGTCCTCTGTTTTTGAGATTATTTTGAGATTATTTTGTATAGCAAAGGGCAATACTCTTCTAAACCTAATTATAAAAAAAAAATTCGTTTTTCATAAGCAAAATTGTGAAACGTTGCAATTTGAAAAAGTATTTTAAACTATATAAATTAGTTACCCGGGCAATTGATTTACATCAGCCAATCAGACGAAAGTCTTTCTATGAGTACGTACGTACGTACGTACCCACCGTGGGAAGTTTCAAGAACAAGAAACCCAGTGACATCTTCGTGATAATCACATCACATGATTAACACTCCGGCCTAAGTTAGGGTTAGTGATAGGCTTAGGTGATGATCACTGGGTTCCTTGTTCCTGAAGTGTCCCTTATTTCCATAAGCTCTCCCATCAACGGTTACAATAGTTAAAAAATCGTAAACCCTCTTTAGTATTTAACCTTTTATCGAAATACGCTATTATAAAATACATTATTTCGCATAAAACTTGTATTGAGAAATGCTTATTAAAAATTATGTATTAGTGTTGGGTATAATTTTAATTGTACAGTGCGGACAACCTAGTCGCAGCAAATAAAAATTTTTAGTGGCCAAATTTAGATTTTATTTTTTATATATATGAAGAGGCCAATTTGAAAATTTAGCTAATAAAGTGGTCAAATTTAAAATTTTTAATATACAGTACACCCTGTCAAAACCGATTATGTCAAAACTGATAACCTTCCATAACTGATAAAAAGTTGATCCACCATATTGGAGCATGACAGAGGTTCTATTTTATTGGCCACAAATATGCACCATGCAGATCCTGATTTATTAAATCGTGATTGGCCAATTAAAAAATATATATAACTCAAAAAAAAAAAAAATTTGTCTTAATTTTTGTTCTGTCGTTGGGGTTAAAGTTTTGACACAGTTAAAGTATAGTGTGAGAGATTCGTGTAGTTAAGGTGAAGTCGAAGTTCTGGTATAATTAAAGTTTCAGTGTGA